TATAGTGTATATGCTTGTCCTGTAGCTACGAAGTAGGATACTGTTTCACTTTTCTGTTTAGAAAGACTTAACAATATGAAGGGTACCGTTTACTGGATTCTTACTAAATTTATACGTTATTTATAAATTTATAATTGTGTGAAAGATTATATGGATTAAACGAAACACACGCGTGATACGTACGTTATGCAACCATGTTTCCGACTTTCTATTCGTAAATCGAATTCGAAGATATAAGAAAAATTCCCAGTATTGTGTTTACGCTGTTACTCTCGCCTAAACAGCGATTGAATTAGATTTTCATCGATGAATAATTAAACGTAACGTGTTAATTAGACTCGGTGGGGTTAAGTAAAAACGAGTAGTATTCCAATTATTTCGGACTAATGAATTCAATATTTGGTTATCTGATGTTTGTTCGGCGTTAATTACGCTTTACCTACAGAAGAGAAAAAATTACCCAATCGAATATTAATGAGAAAAATGTATCAGTTAACGAACTACGATACATATGTGAACAATTTTTCGGAACAAATAGTTCGCGAGAATGTTTGCAATTCATTCAAAATAATTATACATTAAAAACTACATTTACACAACTTTTGAAACGCCTTACTCTAATATTTTGTACGCAAACTATCCAAGAAGATCGGTTTGAGAAATAAACTATATCAAAACAATCTCTAACGTAAGAATTTATTTGCAGTAAATATCTTACCGAGTGAAAAGGGCAATTCGATATTCGGATAACGGAGGTTCCTACTAGTGATGGGCGATACAGTATTGGTATTTCGAATATGGATACTTTTCAATTCAAATATCGATATTTAATGTGACGATGTATTCCACTATCGATACTTAACCCATAAATATCGAAATTTCGATACACTCGCTGCGTTCAGCGAGACGGAACAGGTCTTAAGGTAATGGACCAATTGCGAGCTTCCCATAAAATTTACGATTGGTCGGTTTCTTTTCCACACTGTTACCTGAGAATCTTAGCCTTAGTAAATATCTGATTAAATAAATGATTTATTTTGATTTTTGGATTTTATTCTAATTCAATAGATAATAATCGATCTAAATTTATCGATACCCATAATATCGATATTTCATTCCCATTATAGATGTGTATCGATACTTTGGATATCAATACGAATCGATACCAAATATCGATACAATTCAAATGTATCGCCATCACTACATAGTTTCTACTACGCATCTACTACGTAAAGTACTAGAACTAGAAAAAAAAATTTGAAACAAAAGTTTAATGATACAATAAGCGCTATAAGCTTGCGTTAACAAAATTTTGAAAAACGTGTTTTAAAATTTTCTTTTTAAGAAAAAAAAAAAACATTTTTCAAAATTGTATTAACACGAGTTTACACGTCTTATTGTACCATAAAACATGGGTTTCAAACATCTTTTTCTATCTATTGTACTTTAAGAGTTACACGCGAAAAAGTTGGAGTGCCTATTTGACTTTGAGGTTAGTTTTCATATCCTTAAAAAGCGATTGGACGCCAATGCAACATACCCTTATTCTTCCCTAAAAGCACTCCATAAACTTACAATGTTTCATTGTAATCCGTGTGTCAGCGTTCGCGGTATGTCCTTTTTAATAAAGCTTTAACGAACAACAATTTCTTTCTATTCGGAGGACGTTCATCCAGATTAAACTGTTTCTTTTTCTAGGAGGCAATCCGAGAGAGAACGGAAACGAAGAACGACCACCTGTCACGTTTCGCCATCTACGAGGACAACGACGACGCCGACGGAAGCTCGAGCGAGCAAATCGGAAAATGGCGGAAAAATGGCGAAGCTCTGGAGCCAAAATGGCGAGACGGCGACACGGTGCCCCTGCTGCCGTTCTCACAGCTGTCGCGGTACACGGGCGATCAAATGGACACCATCGAGGAGGAAGAACAAGAAGAGGATTCCATCCACCAAGGATCGAGAAATCAGCAGAACAGCGAGACCGTAATTCCTTCCCCGAGAAGCGACCAAGAACGAATTTTCTACAACGACTACAAAGCCTACGAATCGATCGACAGGAAGCACGGACCGAGAAAAGATGAAGTCTCGTCCCGCAGACGGAACAATCGACCTCCAATCGATCTGGGTGTATTCGATCTAAAAGAAGCCAACAGGCGGGAAGAATCCGAGGACAACGTAGAACCTAGAGAAGCAACAACATCGACGAGGTACAGGGAAACTTCCTTCCATGTCCGTCCGAACGATTACGAGCACGAGCTGGACGACGAGGAGTACCTGAAGCCACGTCCAAGGAAAAGACGACCGCCCCAGAATTACGAGTTCGGCCTAGTCGAGAACGAGACCACCAAAACGGAATTGAACGGATCCTGGTCACGTTCAAGCGTTCAAAAAGATTCGTCCGAATCGACCGAGTCCAGAGGCCAGCACGCAAAGAACGCGATGGAACTGAAGTCTCTGCTGAAGATGCAACAAGAAGAGGGTCTGAGCCTGTCGGAACTGTTACAAAGACGGAATCTAACGCTGAACGATCTGCTCCGAGGCAGGGCGGACGTGATCAACGCTCTGAGATCGAAGGACACCGAGACGGACGATCACATCGACGTGAGATCGAGCACCACGAGAAAGCCGCATCGAAGCAGCACGGAAGCGATCAGACTGAAGGATTCCACGAAAGGGGAGATCGTTTCAGTAGTAACGGTGGCGCCTGTTTTGCATAAGAACGCCCCGGTGTATCTGGATACGTCAACGACCGGAAAATCGATCGACAAGGATCACCCTAGGCTGGCTGGCAAGTGGACGCCAGGCCTGCCAACCGTGGTTGCGACATCGATACCCGTACCGACCAATTCCATGGAATCACCGCAGAACGACCAGGCAGTACGATCACGAAACTATGGCGGGACTAAGGCCGCCGAGGTGTTGGAAGAGGACGAGATCATGGAGTTCTCAGATTTCACCGATTACAAGAACGGCCGTAACGCCATGTCCCCAGTGTGGCTGACCGCCAGAGACGAACAAGGGGATCTAGTGTCCCCGGAACTGTTCAAAGAAAGCAACGAGAACAGGGGATCGACGTTGAGCATCGAACAACTACTAACACCCACGGAACGTTCGAAACTAGGGACCGACGAACGGATGCACGTGGACGACACAGGGGCTATCGAGCAGCCGGAACTAGAGGATTACACGGCATTCATGGAGCAGGAGTACCAAGACGATGCGTCGGCTACGTATCAAGATCAGAACGCCGGTGTGACCATTCCAACGAACAAGGATACGACAAGGGAGTCTGTGCTCGACACGATTTCACACTGGGATTCGACGAAGGAGCAACGAACGACACCCAACGACGCTGGTCACCAATCCCTTGGAGATCATCAGACTACAAACAGAACCGACAAGAAACACCGAGAGGATGATGATGTGTCCGAGGTGGAGCCGGAAGCCCGAGCGGAGATCTTCGAGCTGTTCGCATCTGGGTCAGCGGGCAAGCGATTGGAGAGGCTACTGAAGTCGAGGAACATGAGTCTGGACGAACTGATCGCGCTCAGGCAGAGAGGATCCAGCAAAGTCCACTTAGCCGAAGTGTCGCGGATCAGAGTGCAGAAATTTGACGCCAAAAAGTCGGAAACGGTCAGTTCGTCGGTCCAAGGAAACAGCATCGGGGAGGGAAGAGCTATCAACAACGGCCCGAATGACTACAATGAGAGGATTAATGGTTACTTGACAGAGCACTACGAAAGTACGACGGGTTCTGTGCCGAATCCGGTGAATTTCATTCAGCCAGAGGAAAGCACCACCACGGTCTCCAGTTCAACGACTTCGAGGATCATGAATACGAACGACGAACAGCGAGAGATCGAGGAACGTCGCACGCTGCAAATAGTCGACTTGTTGACTACCTTTGATTCTCTGCCGTTTGCGAAAGATATACAACGGAACGTCGCTGGAGAGCGTGATAACGAAGAGGAGAGACGGAAGTTATCTGAACAGAGCGAAGATCGTGGTGTGGTGTTTGTGGACGATCGGGAGACCGTGAGAGATAACGATACCGCGAACACGATTCAGTCTGGCTTTGTGAAGAAGATTATCGAACAGAAACCGGGCTCCGTCGACATTCGTGTGGTTTACAGCGAAACGGACGTTTTCAACGAAGACGACCACAAGAACGAAAGGGGCAGGGCTCTGTCGAAGATAAGGCCGAATATAATAGCTAGCGGGGCGATACTAGGAGTGACGATCGTTGTCTTCTTGGCCATATTTATCACGTGCAAGATCAAACAGAAGCAGAAATACAGATACAGGAACACGTTCTCCAGAGCTGTGTTCCAAGGTCCCGCGCTGACGGCCCGAAAACTATCGAACTCTAGCAGCCTGAGCACAGTGATGGTGAACGTGGTCGCCACCTCGACCACCAAGAGGCCAGAGAAAAATGACGTTGCGGCGCATGCCGGAGATATGGATTCTAAAAGTGATATCGATAATGATTCTTTGGACGCGAACGACAGCTGGGAAACCATACCTGATTATATGAAATGATGACTCACGGAATCTCCCTCGTATAACCTTGGAAAACAACAGTATTTTCGCGCTGGCGTTATACTCAATCTTGTATGTGTATAAAAAGCTACTGACTGTGTACGAAGTGAAAGGCAGATTTGTAAACTGATCGGTGAATCGTTGACTGTAATGTCTCTATTAAAGCCACAAGTAACTAATTTCGCAGTTACAGTTTGTACATATGATTGTACAGGGTTCTCCAATCAACTTTAACCGGTAGAATTTAATGTAATTTAGAATTTTAGGGGTAGTATCGATACATTTGCATAAGACATTACTTTGGATCTTGTAATATCAGGAAGCGAGAATGCATTTTTTTCTCTGGTATTATAAACTTATTCTTTCGCACTTATGTATAATAGAACATATTTATTTATATCCAGATTCGTTTGGAACCATTGCCTTACAAGCTAAATAAAAAGTGTTACTTTCCTACTCACCAGTATCTTTCGTAGGTAAAAACATCCCTGAGTATAGCAGACACAACGTTATTGTTGCTTTGAAACACCTTAGTAAAATAGGAATACTGTCTTGCAATATTTCTACATTGTTTTAAGGCAACCTCTGCAAAAAGAAAGAGCCATAAATGAACCATAAATAAAAACCATAAATGTACTAATAATTAATCTCGAACTCATGCAGGTAAATTTTAAATTGAACACATACCTAATGTAGGACTGCCTTTAAGTTCAATCATCTCAGCAGCAGTCATGTACAACACAGTGGTATAACTTGTGGGAAGGATGTCTAAATAAGGCTTCCATTTAGAGTTTTCTTTGTGTCTTTCGATGAGAAGTGCAATTGCTAGTGCCACCTGTGGCATGTGTTGTATCAGCGGATCATTTTGGAGACAAGTTAATTCCGGTGCGGCATTATGAATACTAAAAATAAGTTCCCTCGGAATCCTCAAAATTAACTCGTTCTCAAGGAAATTACGTTCCGCTTTCAATCCCAGATCATATCCTGGAAACTCAGCTACGCTTGCCCCATCTATGCCTGCTCCACTATCTCTGAGCCAATTTATAAACTGTCCGATACCGTGGGACCGCTTTAACGACTCTGTCTTCATCTCCTCCAACTGTTTAACCTTCTCCAAAACTGACGATATCTCTATATAGTTGTCCCATAGTTGCGTCACATACGCTGAATTACTGCTAACTGATTGAAAAAGCATAAATCATTATTCTCTGTATCTGTTTTAAGGAATGCATCGTAAATGGCAGTTTTCTGTTACACGTGATCAGTGGAAGATTTGTCAGACCTCTCGAGGAAACGAGGTTAAACAAGCTACACGTACCTTGTATTTCATATTTTAATGATTCAAGATTCATGAAACTATTCTGAACTAAATAGCAAACGCGTCTTGCATGCTACTAAACATCCGTGACATAATTTCTGCTTAGGTTTCATTCAACAAATTATAATTGCTTTGAAACATCGTGAAACGAGCAGAAGGGTGCCACTGGATGGTGTATTATATTCAAAGATATATTTGCAAAAAATGTACTCACGATGAAACAGTTTTTCGCACAAGGCATTTATCTCGTTCCTTTTCGTTGAGGATAATTGCCTTTGATGGGGAACGTGTTGTTTACTTTTAGACAATCCGTGAGATTTTCTTCTGCCCATGTTTGTACTATCTCACGGTACTTTCGTGACTTCTTCTCACATTTAGATGCATTATAATGTGTGACGCGCGCCTACGACCAGCAAGAATAAACACTTCGCCGAAACAAAAATAGAACGGTCGACGTTCTGTGCCTTCTCTGCCGCGACCGACATAACCTCGAAACGGCAGAGTGGAACTACTTTCCTTCCCTGTATACTGTGTACTTACTACGTAGTGTATACCGTGTATACCACCGACCCGCCGCACTTTATTGATTTTCAATTTCTATCGAGGGTCACCTACTTTCCCAATTACGCTAAACCTCTCGTCAGAATGGTTTTTCATCAATCTTTTTTCTCATCCACTCGGAACGAATGTACATGACGCTTTGTCGAGCGAATTTGAAATGTGTATTATGATTAAATTCAATTTTGTTAATTCTAACGATGCAATAGGGGATAATCTTTATTCGATGATTGATGGTCAACATTCGTCCGACACGAGACAATACGTTGTTGCAAATACGTATAAATGCGTGTACTTACATAGATTTATAAATTTAATTATCCCTCCTGTATAGTTTTTTACAGTTCTTGGAAATTACTTATATGGTCGTGTGCGTGAAGAATTAAATATACAAATGTTTAATGAAACGAGTGTTTCCTTTGTTTAAGATCTATATTGTACAAAGTAATAAACAAATGATATATTTTAGTATTTTTTATAAAGAATAATTTATATTACCTTTATACTCTATTTATAAAGTCACATTAAAGGGGATCTAAACGATGGGTCAGTTGCAAAATAGCTATCTACAAACATAAGATAAAAATTTAATATTCTATTACATACATAATTCCTTGTATAAATATACATATACATGGATGAGATTTATAATAAAAAATTGATTTAGACTGTATGTTGTGTATTTGAAGTAACAGAAATGAAAAATTGTGCGAACAAAGTTGTTAAAGAATTAGAGCAGTTTAAAAACAGGCCAGAACTATATAAAAAGAAGGCAGAAAGAGTTTAAAATCTTTAAAGTATAAATATAAAATGTAAACTAAAGAACATGAAAATATGGAAATTGATTAAGAGATAATTTTAAAAACTTGTTTTGGTACTCATTTAACATTTATTACTTTGATATAAAAGTATTTGCAATACTTATATCAAGGCGAAGAGCCATGAAAATGTAATATTTATCCTTAAGTTTAATTCAATAGTATTCACAGCTCGTATTTAACATAAAAAATATTTTCTTTCATACATTTAACTTGTTATCTAGGAGATAGTGCATCTATAGATCCCCCATAATGTTTATAAATTATACAATTTGTGTACAACTAAAAAATAATATAGTAAAACAATTACTTGAATTTTCACGCTGCAAAGTAAGGTAACTAATTGTAAAAACTTTTTACAAAAAGCAACGAATTTAAAGTTGCGCGACAATTACGACGTATTTAAATGTAACAAATTCATACAACAGTTTATTTTACGCAATTAGAAAAATTTACTTACATGGTACAATTCGCGGAATAATTTTTATAACGTTTTTTTTAAAATTATATACGATATACGTACATTTAAAATTTCTAACGCTCCTCTTTATAATTGTTTCAGTATAAAAGTCTATTTTGTATCATATTATACATTACTCGTGGAAAAAAAAACGCAAAGGAAGGAAGGAAAAAAATAATTATATCATTTGATAAAGAATTTAAATACCCTGCCTGGGAATTTATCATAATTACGCAATTTGTACTGAATATAGATAAACCACTACGTTTTTATAATAATATATTTGATTACGAATTATGCAGAACCGTAAGTATATTACAGATTCTACAACATTACCCATAAACTTCTCCTTAACTTCTTTGCAGCGGAAAACTCGTATCTTAAATATTAAAGATACACATACAGTTACAGTAATATATATCGTTATTTATACAGCCTAACCTCTAAATAGAGCCTATAGACCACATGATTTCGTTTCCTCTTTCACTGCTACCTCAATAGAAATTCACCGAAGTCCGTTGTATGTCACGAAATAAAATGTATAATTTATCTTGACTCAACGTCTTACTTTCAATAGTTTTCCACATTTGTAAAAACCGAAAACTGTGTAACTTCATTTATCAATCCCCTTTTAATAAATGTGCGCGACGCCTTCATAAATCTTAATTTTCACACAGTAATTATTCTAAACATGTACATCCGCTTTTGTTAGAATTCAGACATTTCATTTCACGCAGATGCACATTACAGTATATCAAATAGTCTGCGGATTGTATATGAAAAGTGTATCATGTATTACAGTCTAAAAAATGTAAGATTTTCTTTGTTCAGACGATTTACACAAGGATACCAGCCTCTCACGGTATTTTGCTTTGTAGCCGAAACAGCACGCAATGCATTTATGGTCCCCTGTTTTTATCACTAAAAACTTCAACGAGAACAGTATGTGTAATTACTGGAGTGTATCAGTACACTATTCAAGGGGAATTGTCGAAGACTACAAAACACATAGTACATAAATATTAAATTACTTTTCATCCAATTCACAATAACTGGAATAAGTTGTGCAGACACTGTGGAGTCAGATTCACAAAACTTCAAATTCTCTCATATCGGGTTATTTTCTTTCCTTTGTAGCATGTGTATTTATACAATTTTATTTAATTCGTTTCTATTGTGTAGCAGTGTCTGAAATGCTTTGTCGCCATGTTGCATGGAAGGGAATCTTCAAGATTTTAACTCGTGTTTTGGGCAACGCAGTTAATAATAGTTTTTGAAGTTGTGGCAATGGTAGTATGTCCACTTGAGGATTTGTTAAGTTTGGTTGTTGTTTATCATCACCTGAAATATATCAAAATTGTCAATCGTAATTGTGTATACATTACATGTATGCAAATATAGAATAATTTATGTATATGTATATGTATATATATATATATATATAATCAGTTTAAAAGAAGTACCTTTTTGATTGTCATTTTCATCCTCAACATCTTCGATTAATTTTAAACAGGGTACTGGCTTTAAAACTGGTATCGAATCACCAGTGACTTGTTTACTCATTAAATTACACTGGTCAACAAATAGTTCTGTAACCCTAAGTAATTCAAGTGTAACGCCCCATACGAAATGTGTCAAATTGTTTGACAATTCAGTAACACCACCGAGCACCATATTGTTAGACGTTGCCGACTGGGATATGTAAGTTGGTATAATTAATAGCCTTTTAATATTTTTACAATTCGCAAGACATTTGTCGAAGCCATTTTTAACGTCAAAGTTGACCAACTCCATTTGACTCAAATTTTGCAGCTTGGACACACCCTCCAAAATATCGAATGTGCAACACGACCCTTGCCCTTTTTCAAGCCTGAGACGCTCCAATTTTTGTAACTTTATCAAAACAGTGGTGCCAAATTTGTCTGGAAAATCGGAACATTCTCCTAATTCCAATGTTTCCAAGTTTGATAAATTTTGTATTATTTCGATTTTCTTCTTTCCAAGTTCCTTAACGGATGTTAAACTCTGGAATACATGTTAAGACTGAAGTATATAGGGCAACAATGTAATAGTTGATAGACAAAAAGAAATTAGTATCTGTTTACACTTACGAGTTGCGATAACTGTGTTAGTTCCTGTAAAGGCGTGAGATCTTCTTGGAGAGACATTCCGCTAATTGCCTTCAGCCTCAATTCTTGACAACGTTTGAGATTTCCAACCGATTCCAAGTTTAAGGAATCGCATTTTATTGACATTGCACTCAACACCTCCAGCTGAGGACAACTGCTTATAACTTCTTCTACTACTATTACAGGACATCTGCATAACTCCAACTTGACAAGACTAGTTACACGTGGTATTACTGTCAAGAACTTTTTCCAAATGCTATCAGACTCGCCCGCTACAAGCATTTTTCGGAGGTCTAAATGTTGAGTACCACGCCTTTGCAGTGTATCCGCTAAACCATCCCAGTCCGTCACTTGACTATTTTTCATTCGCACAGTTTTCCATAGTGACGGATGTGCAGCCAAGTCCCTCCACATTTTGCACACTCTAGCAGCTCGAAGCAACTCTTGAACCTTAAGATATTGGAATATACGTAGCAAGGCATGATAACCAGCACAGACTGAATCCATAAAATGTTGTTGTTGTTCTTTTTCCTGCTGGTTTTGCTTTCTTCTGCAAGTGAACAGAAAATATTACTATTAAATAGGTTTCTTTAAACGTAATCGCCTAAGAACTATACACTAAGGGTATCGTCCATTAAGATGTAACGCTGGTTAGAATTTTCTAAAATAGAGAGTAACATTACATTGCTATCCGAACTATTCGCTATTTTCCTTGATATCAAGAAGAGAATTGCAATTTTTAAAGAGGCTTTTAAAGGACCAATGATTTACAACAATGATGCCAACAATCTTATACTGTGTCAAATAAAGAATGCAGGTAAAAGCCTCTGAAAAAAAGTTTCAAACGTTGAAGTTTCGACAGTTTAAAACAAAAAACAGAATAAAGGTATGGAAACAAAAAAAAAACAAACATAAATAAGGAGTATAAATAATGAGGAACAAGGACTGTAGGAAGTTTGTGGGAAAACGCACTAAGAGATTTTTTGTGTTTCAGCTCGCACATGTCTTTATATCTGTAAATATAAAAAGTAAAAATGAATTAGATTTTTTCCACTGAAGCACTTATCAGTAGCTGTATCAGTAATTGTAGCATGAATGTAAATAATAAATTCAAGAATTATCCAATTTTCTCTTCCCATTTAAAAAAAAAAGGGGTGGGGGTAAGTCTATGGGGTGCAGGCTTTTACTTTGATACTACAATTACACAATACCTGCAAGAACCAACGATATGTGATTGTTTTGTTCAATTTTCGCACGTCTCACAAATTTGGCCGCATTTCTAAGAAGCTAAGGCAGTGTGCTTCGATCACAATATAAAATCAAATTCATTTTTCACCTCGAACATTTATATTTTCAAATATAATAAACATCAGTATATATTGCATTTACAATAGTATTCGTGTAAATTTTGTACAACAGGAATAATACAAATATAGTGCAATATCTTTCGTGACATTTACTCTTCGATACGTTAATGAGACTATAGAAACATCCTGGCACAATTCGTAAGAGTATTTAAATGAAAAATAACGGAATACTTTAATAAACTGATAATACAAAATTAATCACCGTGTAAACAACAGACATATCTTGTAAATACAATATGTACAAAGCAACTGCCAAAACCTCAAAAGAGAGTTGCCTTAACTTATGTGGAGAAAATGTTTAAAATAAGGAGTAAAAGAAACATGTTGGTGTGTTTGACAAACAAACACTTACTTGCTACTTATTTTAACAGTACCCAAACTACTTGCGACTGATTGACGTGAATCGACTTTAAGATCATTACTTGTACTAGTTGTATTTAAATTATTTACTAACGCCGTCCTTTCAGGTGATTTGATACTCGTCGTCGATTTCTGGTCTTCTTCTGTAAAATCTGTCCTTATATTGGACGTATCGTTTTCTAATCTGTTTGCAGTCAACGTTTCTACTTTACTGCTGTTATTGCACGTCTCTTCAAATCTTTCCTCTACAGCACACGCAGCAACTTCTGTCTGTGATACATCTTTCGACACATTTCTGTCACTTGATTTATCGACATAACCTTTCCCTAAAGAATTTACCGACGATGGAATATGCGACTTTGCGATCAATGAGTTTTCCGCAGTGTTCATAATATCAGTAAGCGAACCATCCTGAAGTATGGGAGGTTTATCACCAATTTTATCAGGTTTCACTGTTATGGCTGGCTGAACAGCCATGGCATTATTTTTTGGCACAACTATATATTTTTTCCCTCCCATCAGGGCAATATTTTGAGCTGGTTTCGGTAATGTTCCATCGTGACTTTGTAAAAATTCATTTTCTGTCTGTGAATACCAACTGCTTTCTTTTTTCTCTGAATTCGAAGGGGAATACGATGCTGCAGTGGATGCTTTCGAAACTTTGGTAGCATTTCGGGGCTGTGAGTCTGTGCTATCAGATTTTGGAATTCTTTGCAATCTCGGTGGAGTTGAATTTACTTGATGCTTTGTCTTTGCACTTTGCGCGCCTAGCATACTAATTGGTATTAACGGAGGAGGTGTCAAAGATGGATTTGTTTGTGGTTGCTGAGATTCAGTAGTATCCTGCTGACAGTTCTACAACAAAACGAATATATTTAAGATTTATATACTGTCAGCTAAGTTACATTCAATACTTAAATGTTTTCTATACACCTTTATTGAAGTAAATCTCATAGATAATAAACTAAAAGCTTCAACGCAGACTGCGGAAATTAAATCTGAATACTTATCGAATTTAAAGAACACAAATTGTATTTCTGAATACAGTATTGTAAAATTATTTTTAATATTATATAAATGAATTGGAAAGAATTGTCTCAACCAATTTTGAAAACGAATATTCTACGGTTATAAATGGAACATACCTTGCAAACGTAATCATCACTTCCCGTAAATTCCGTACCACCAACACACTCAGGATGGTATAAACAGAGACACACGCTACATTGCAAGCTCGGTATCAACCCCATACTCGTTGAGCATCTTATACTGCATGGTTCTTGAACTTTGGGCCTGTAAGATGTGCGTCGATTGGGGATAGGGATTAAGGAATAAAACACAAAATTTAAATAAGGGATTTAAGGATTTCAAGGATAAAGAAGGATACAGTTATGAAAAATATAGAAGGAAAAGTTTAAACTGTTTCAGAATAATATCTCGAACTCTACAATTATGTATACTTATTATACAACATGCATTTTTATGATTAATAAAGTAAGATTTACTTTACTATCTTTTTAGTATACAATGCAAAATCTAATCTTTTACATGTCTACTGAAGCGGTAATTTATACATAAAATTATCAAAAGTAATTTTTTGTCAACCGATATAAAATATAAAACTTGATTGGCAAAATAAAACAAATATTTCTGTACCAATACAACTACTACAAAGTTATATATGGAATAATTTATACGCGCGTGTGTGTGTGTGTGTGTATGGACCGTTTATTTTGAAAGTGGTGCAAGTCCATTTTCCAATTCCATTTCATTTTATTTTAGTTTACACTAAATTAAGCATAAATTACGTCATATCTCATTTTTTTTAAAAAAGGACTTACACCACTTTCAAAATAATCGGTCAATGACGTAATTTATGCTTAATTTAGTGTAAACTAAAATAAAATGAAATGGAATTGGAAAATGGACTTGCACCACTTTCAAAATAAACGGTCCATATATATATTGATACTTTCATGAAGTTTGTTAAAATTGTACGAGGTTATTCGTCTTTTTTAAATATTTCCTTCGAACTTGATATTTTGTAAGATCATGACATTCAAGAACACTAAAGAAGAGTACTTATTTTCTCAAAAAATGTAATGAATGCACATGCTGTAAATCCTTCATTGGACCTTTTTAAAGCACGTTAACATGATTATTAATCATGTTGAACTACTAAGCACTTTGGATACCCTCCAACATTGCAAATTAATCGCGATTATACCAAGTAACAAGTATTACAAAAATTAAAAGTATCAGGTACTTACGTTAATTGTCTTTTAGGTTTAGGAGGTGGTGGTTTTTCTACGATCTGCTGACTTCTTCTTGTGGTCGTAGTTCTTTGCGGTGGGAGCATCTCGCTTTCTTCAGATGACTTTATTTCTGCTATGCAGATATGAAAAAAAGATTCTTATGAAAGTAATACTTTATATGCTGAAAATTATAAACTACAAAATCCATTTACTAATAGGATTTAGTTCATTCTTCAACATAAATTATATAACTTTAATGGAACAATTTACAATACAAAATTTTTTGCATTAAATAACGTTTCAAATAAATGTAAAATTATCTACAGAATTTCAAACAAGGAAAACACATTTCAGACAGTAACTGTTAAAATGAACTCCCCTGCAGTAGTTATTGGTCAACAAGTAATTCATCAATTCTAAGTTAATGGATAAATAAAATGATGGAACAGTATAAATAATAGAAAATAGGATTTGATATTGATATGAATGCATACTTATTTGAGGGGTTCTTTTTCCAGGCACTTTAACTCTGAATCCTGCTGATTGAGCTTTTGGCGATTTAGAAGCTTTTGTAGGCACAGATATAGGAGCAGGAGGTGATGGTTCCGCAGCTTTCCTTCCAGGTGTACTTCTTTTATATGTCAGGCTTTTCCTTGGCGGCGTTGCTGCTACAGATCCCTATGACAATGCCAAAATTAATATTAAATCAGAAACTACCATGCACTTTATACGAATCAATAAATAAAATTACATACTCTCATTCTTTTTGCATCTCGAATAATTTCCTTCTCAGGATCGTCTATACCAATTGGTTCTTTGAAGAATGTGAAGTTATCAATAGTTAACTCTTTCGTGTTAACTGTAAAAGGGAGTGTAATATTATTATATTTATTCCCAAAATTGACTCGTACATAATGTACTATCATAAGTCAGACTTACGAAATTCTGCAACTTCTCTGAAACTTCGAACTTTTTTCCCCTTTGGTGTATAATAGTATATATCAGCCATTCTTTTAAGGGTTGAATCAGTGCTTGCTCTAAACACTAACTCTCTCTTCCAACCATATTTAAAAGGTTCTTTGAACGCAGGGTTTGACATATCAACAACCACTTTTTGTTTTACCGTACTTCCTGGACTGACTACACGCGTCATACGACTACCTCTAGATTTCAGTGATGTTGCTGGACTACTAGCAGCAGACGAGTTTGTTGACTTAACTGAAGTTTCTTCTGTTTTTTGTACGTCTGTTTCAGATTCCACAGTATTTGGTAATCCGATTGAATCTGTTTCAGATCTATCAGATTCTTTTTCCTTCTTTATTTTGTGTATATATAACATATGTTCAGTATCATAATTATGCATTCTATTGTCATCTGAATCTTCATCATTCCTCCCATCAAAATTCTTTTTCGTGCTATATCTATACCGTTTTACCAATTGGGCTTCTGCCACCTCAGCTTCAGCTGTAATAATTTATATAAACATTATCAAACATTCTTTAAATTTTGCAAATATTATCTTTTATAGAAAAATCTCTTTTTGCTATTTTAGTAAATACTAAAATTTTTTATGGTTATTTTTTTCAAAAGAATTATTTGAAATAATTTATATTTAAATTTAAAAAGAGTTTAGTAATATCTTCTATAGCATTTTGAATAATGGGTTAAACAATATTTTTTAATATTCAAACTGATATGAAAAGATTAGTAAATATTTGTAAGATACGAATATTACTTATAACATTCAAGTCAAATTTTTAGCTTAATACACATTTTATATGTACCTCTTCTTAATTTCCAAAATTAAAATGTTAAAAATATTTTAAATAAACAATCTAATCATCAAATAATATATAGTATATACATTTTAACTATATATATACAATTATTTCTTCCCCACTTAAGATTACAAAAGCTTGATCCACTGAAAGTTCATATACTTTATCTAAGAAAGGTAAGCTTTAAAGAAGTCTTAACTTTTTTACAATATCTCTTTTTACAAAGATATCAGTATTAACTTTATATTTTTTTAGAGTTCATTAAATATTCTTAGAAATATAAGCAATACAACTTGTTGTCTATAATTAATGTTTTCAACTTGAAATACAGAGCAATGAAGTAAATTTACTTGGATACATTAAGAATAGTAACTCGCACAAAATAAAATAACTTTCATTTAAACAAGTTTTTCATATATTCAAAAGCTCAAGACATAATTGCATGTATATGTTTGAATCATACATACTATACACATAATGGTACATTATCCCCACTTGTACTAGTTGTAATCTTTTACGTGTGAAAGAAACTATACTGCTTGTAGAATACATTAAAGATAATATAATTCATAGTAATGATGGTATGGTCTACGTATACAATATGACATAACAATAACCAATACCAATTAATTTTCTCAGAACATTGCTGCCTGGTTCCATTTCATTAGCCCACTGTGCATCAAATCCATTGAATTCCATAGACTCCTCAGAGCTAACATCATCAAGTTCGGAAAGCTTACGCTTGCGTTCCTTTGTACTTGTATCACTTTCAATGGTACTAGTCGAATTGGCCTTGAACTTCCTTAACTTTCTTCTAACGACCGGAGTAGGACTCCTTTTCGATGAACCTTTAACGTCACCGTTCACTTCTTGACCGTCCATTATTGCAATTGATTCCACTTTAACCTGCGTCTCTTCAATCTCCGACATTCCAATGAGTTCTAGGTTAGGATTATCGCGCGCCTCCTCGGCGTTCCCGCCATTCACGTTGGCCCCGTCCATCGTGAGGTCCCCTTGGGACCGAACCCTTATTCTACGTGTTTGAATGAAGGAAGACGCGCGAAGAACGTTAATTGTACGCTACCCAACACTTTGTATAAACTCCATTCAACGTTTCTCGTAGAAGCATCCGTGCTACAGTCCCCTCGCGTCTGACCACCGCGATCCCGCGCTCATCTGTCCCCGCGAATGCGCATAACACACGCGCAGACACCACTACGCGCTATTTACACAACAGCTAGATTTTCTCTCGATGGGATAGGTTTCGGGCAGTTCCTCATCACCACCATACTATTATGTTGCACGCGTAGCTCGAGACAAACGAGAGAACAATATTATGATAAAAGTTACTTATCGCTCTACAAACGAGACTCCGTTACAATCTTCAACTGAAAAACGACAATAACTTTGGAGAGACACAGAGCGTCTGTAAAGCACACAACCGGAAATGGCCGAAAAAATATGCCAAGGGCGAATCTCCATTATGCATTCGATGATCATCAATAAGGTTGATTTATACTATCTATTTGAGATTTTCAAATTGTATCGAGACATCCTGAAATATTGGAAAACTTTTCTTCGTCGTTCTTTGGCCCTTTATACAGTGTTCAATACACTCGATCATTTTTTTTATTTTAACATCTTATGGGCACCGTAACGACATTTTTTTTCCATATTATCGTCATCTAATAAGACTGCTACACAAGATAAATTTTTTATGAATAATTATGAAAACATTACCAAATAATAGGTATTATTCTGAAACGAGGTATGGCGCAAACTGATTAGAATTTCAAGAAAGTCACCAATGAATTTGTAATGTTAATATTTAAAATAGTATATAAATAATTAAAAGCATTGCGGAGTCTAAGTAATAATTATAGTATTGTATAAAATTTACCTTTTATTGAACATAATTTAAAATAAAGGTACACGAATCTGTAGTACTTTCTCTTTCGAGTTAATATTCCTGTGGAAACACGGTCTTTATACTACGCCAGAGGTGCTCAATTTGCGAACATGTCTGTGGCAAATTAGTCGAACTATGACCAATTATCGCTCGTGAAAAGCAGTGAGAAGGTAATGAGCAGACACACATGCTACACTGTTACAGTTACAATTTCACACACTAATCCAAAGGAAAGCAGTATAGTATAGTAGATTCGTGGCGCACGGTGAAAATAGTTCAGACTTGTCAGTTCACATTAGAGATGACGTGCAAAATCACTAACGGTGATTTATCACAGTGATCGCCGAATCACGATCACGGTCGTGATTTAACTTCATTCACGACCGTGATTGCGATTATTTTATCTGGAGTGAATTTGCTCACTGCGATCGTAAGTCCTTGATCATTAAACAGAAAAACGTATTCAATATGATTTTACGATGAATTACATTACTATTCATGTTTGTAACAATCACTAGAAAAAACAAGAAATTCTAAAAGAATGATTTGCTAGGTAACATGTAGATTATAATTTATAATCATTAATTTATTCATTATTCTTCATTGTTTCTAATTATTCCTTCACTTTATACGATATAACTCGAATTTTTGTTTCGATGTCGTTAATATAAAATATACAGATTATGTGTCGCGTGTAAAGAACTGTTAGGTTTCTCCACCAATCAGAAACGATCACGAGAAATTACGATCACTGTAAAAAATCACCGTGATTGGGACGACGTGTTCGAATCACGAGTGATTCACAAGTAGCAGTTCACGCCATCTCTAGTTCACATATTGTTCGTTTTATTGTTTTTGAATTGTTAATCAGAGAGAACTCAATAATAATGAGACCTCTTTAAAGAGAATTCACATCTGACACGATTCCATGTACAGGTAAGCACGAAGTAATCTGTGTTCCTATCTTGTTACCTATTTCAAATACGATGCAGTCGCAATTGCTTATGGATGTTGTTTTGACAATCGATATTTGTTAATAAATAATGAACATTTAGAATCACGTTGCCTAGTTTTAGTCATCTATTAAGTATTAAAGCTTATTATCATTTATAAAGTGATAAACAAGATACGAACCAGATAAACCATATTAGCTGATTTAAAAAAAAAAATATTATACAGTGTTCGAATTAATTAAATTGAATGTTTCATACGGAACAGTAATTATTAACGTTTTTTACAGTACATCTATCAAAATGAGTAAATATTACTTTATTTAAATTTAAATATATATTTTTATACAAGTTTATTAAACGCAATAATTTCATTGCATCAAAACATTAGCATAATTCTTCAATTAACATTTATTACATGATAGACTTAGTATCATTGATATTTAATATTGTCATTAAAATTGAAATTTATATGTATTTATATTAGTAATTGTGTCATATATTGTTTAGGCTCAAGCGCATCCTTCAAATGGAGCGTGTTTTGAAAGCTGTACCAGCAGACCTAAGAGTAAAAATGGAGGCACTCGTGCATGATTTAACTTTGGCATTGGAAGAAAGCAGCAATGGTATAAATGTCAGACGCAGGTGGGGTATCAGAAGGAGAGCTCGTTCCACAGGCAATATCCGTAAGTGCAAGGAATCATATAATATATGACGATATAACATTTTGTTTCTTAAAGAATTCATTTGTCTATCCAGTGAGTCAACATTTTTTACAAGTACATTTTAAATAAAGACTAGTGACAAATACAAACATGGTCTAATCACATTTCTATGAAATCAGTTCCAGTCTACTTCTACGAGGCAGACAGGATTATTATCAAGATTGTCTTTGTAAAAACCATATTTCAGTAAACAAAGAAGTCAAATTTTATAAATCTTTGAGAAGTAAATTTTTGAATTGTGGAAAGCTGTAAATGAGTTTCAAAGATCATCTGTAAGTAGTTAATTTTTATTTCAGCATCATTGAATATGAACAAACACTCAGATGATAGTTCATCTTCCATTTGTGATATTCATATTCCAAAAAGTAATGCTGCCGCCTCCAAATATCAGTCTGACAGTGATGACACAAATCAGACCAAAAGATTTGCACGTTTTTCAAATTTAAACAATGCCAGCAACATTGAAAGTGATTCAGTGAATGAAAATTTTGTACCTAAAGTAAATCCAAGACGTAAAAGAAAATTTAAGAGAATGGTTATAGACTCAGATACTAATCCATCAACATCTCAAACAGTTGCAATTGTGTCGGCAACACTTGGAGATAAAAAAAGAATTGTTCGAAGTGATTGTAAGAATAGATATGGAACAATATGGTAATGTATTCCACAGTAACTGTATTTGTAAAATTTTGCGTGTTTAAGAAATCATTGCTTAGAAAATCCATCTTTTTCTGCAGGTGTGGAAAACGTAAAAGATCGTGCAGGGAACGTTCTACTGATTGTGAAATGAGATCGTTAAAACCAAACAGAACAGCAAAATCAAAAAATCGTGTTAAAATGCAGACTGAAGATGCTATTGAATGTTCAAGAATATCAAGTTCAAGTATCTCATCCAGTGATTCAGAAACAGGTCTGATTACAAATGATGAAGATCGGGAAGGTATTAAGCGATTTAATTTTCAAATACAGTAGAATACTGATAATCTGACATGCTCGGGACTTCGACACTGCCAGATTATTGAACTATACCACTATATATAAGCATGTAATTTCAATTTCGTACGAAGTATAGTTCGGGATAGTTGCCAAATGTAGGGCACGGTCGTAGTCAAATCCATGCGTGCCGGACAGCGCCGGATCAAGGGGAGGTCTGGGGGGGGTTGTAACTCTAGACCCCACGTTCCAGGGGGCCGTATTCTGTACCTTCCATTTTGTTATGATTAAATGTTATTTAATTTTATTTAAAATAAATTTCAATTTTTTAATATTTATGTATATTGTTGTGCTGTATTACAAAAAATACCACCTCCCTCTCCCCCCCTTCCGCTTTTCAACCAAGAGGGACCCCGAAAATCTGATAGCCCTGGGCCACAAAAAATCTTAATCGAGCCTGGGTACTGGACTATTGAATATCAGATTATCGGAATTCTATTGTACTAGATAATGCAGTTAATTAATTCTTTTAATTTTAGGGGATGATGAACAGTCAGACTGGATTGGTGAAACAAGTTGGTGGTGGGATGATGGTGAAACTGCTAATGAAGATAAACTTGCAACAGATCCAGCAAGAAAAAGTTATAGGCAAAGAATTCAAAGAATTCGGGAGGGTCTTAGCGGAAGAGAAATTCGCGCAGGTCGTCGGCATGTTGACAATAAGCCTGGATATTCGATTATCACATCGGCTAATGAAAAAGTGTCCAGATTTTTGCAAGATCCTACTCAAAGTGAACTTAAGTTGCATCCTATGCGTCAGCCTGAGCGAGAAAAACTTCGTGGACTGGCAAACTTATACAGTTTAAGTTTGAAAGGAGATTTAGGTTGCCCAATTTTGTATAAAACCCGACACACTACGCAAGCGATTTGTGTAGATCAAGTACCATTAAAAAGATTTTCAGATTACAAGAGATTAAGAAGAACACCGCCAAATACACCGAACCAAGAACCGGCATTGCATAACCAGGAATACCAAGTATCTAGCACAAGTTTTGGTTCGCAAATAATCACACCTACATCAAATTCAGATTCAATGCAAGTTCTACCAAAATTGTCTCACGTGGAATGGGATTCAAATAGTATGGATATAGAAATTCATGGGAAACAAAAATTTCATGATTTTGGTCACTCAAAATCGAGTTAATCCAAACAAAATTCATTTTTGTTAATTTGTTCTCTAAAATAAATTATATATATGTATATTCACACATGGTTTTTGCATAATACTTTCTCAAGGTAAAGAACACGATTGGTAATCTGTAAATGTACTGTGCAAGAAGTTGCATTCAATGTGCAATATTTGTTACTTCCTTTCTTAGTTTAGTTTAGTTTAGTTTATGCTCAGTCTCCCGGGAGAGGGGAAGTGCAATTTCCCACCCAAGGCCTCAGGTGTGGCTCAAACGCAGGTAGCGATCTCACAGCCCTGCAATAGGACTGTGGTGGGCGTTACCCGGGGATACTATTTCCCCCGGCTTTTACTTCCTTTCTTGATGCGCTAAAAGTATTTAATTGTATAAATTGTTAATCCCATTAGTTACATCTGTAATATATTTATATATTTCACAGTGTCTTAATTCAATCATTTGCTCTCATATTATTTAATTTTACAACTTTATTTAACATAGTTTACACAGCATATTAACATTAAAGATCATTCAAGTAATTACATGTAAATATTACATAACAGATGTTCATATGATGAATCCTAAATGAAAATCTATTCCTTGTTATTTTTTATTAAATGTTTATTTTATATACAGTCTATTTCGTTCAAGGACAAAAATATATGGCAATGAAGTATTCAAATTATAATACATACTAATCCAATATACCGATATATTTTAAGTTGTGAACACGTTATTTATTTAATGTTCAAAATTATCTACCTTCACTTAATTTTTTGGTAGCTGCCTTTACGTTTTCATTAGCAATCATTTGGAACTCTTGAAATCGTTGTGACACTCTTTGGTTCATCTTCAAGTACTTCTCCATACAATTTAGTGCACACTTTTCTTCCTTTGCTTTAATATCCCGTCCAGTAAAGTCAGTTATGCAATCAGTAAAACAAACTTCTGATAATCTGTTATAGGACGTCAGGAAATCTCGAAACTGGAGTACAAAAATATCAGTCATTCAAAGTTTCCATTACATATGATTTATTTCGTTTACCGCGTTTAAAAATTTAACGATTCGTTATATTTCACATTCATAAATACATTGTTCATTCACAATAGTTTGATGAAATCTTTCTACAATTTCGGAAGTCACTACAAATACATACGGCTTTAATCTGCTCAGAATCCACATTTGTAGGAACCTGCATTGCCATTACAATAAATTATTTATTTTCTAAAAGAACCTGTATAAATTACTAATGCACTTTATAAATCGAAAGATATTTTGACGTGAATAATTGTTAGGTTAGTATGAAATTATTCCCGTACAACACGTGCGCACCATTCCACATAGACTCTGAATGCACATGGTAATTCACAAGTGTTCGATAGTCATCTTGGAAGCATCTGATAGGCTATACAAATCTTCGATCCTAAAACTATCCAATTCGGTGTACAAAAATCTTAATTCACAGCTGTGCATTGAAAAGTTTTTCACATTATTCCACTTATACATATTTTGGAACACATTTATAACGTTTACTTTTTAAATATGAATCCCATTTATGAGAACAAAAAGGTGAAACAATATTGTAAATAATCGTTTACAACAGTAATATATCAGTTCTCAAAGTTTACTAATTCATAACATCTATGAAATCCATTCAACGCTTATATAAGTCGGTATTAATTAGATGTACCATTTAGTAACACCTAATTTTCATTAAGTGGCAATTGTAAACAATTATTGTTGTCAGTCGATTAGCTCTCAAATTTTTGGTTGGAAAATTAGTGTAACTGACAAGGTAGTGAAGCTGTTAAGTTTTTTTGTGAAATAAATAATATGTGGAGTAAAAAACAGTGGATTATTAATTGATATACGTAATAACATGTGTGGTTTCAAAACCTTAAGATCAACAAAACATTTGGAAAAGATGGGACAAAATAAGTATAAATAATGTGTGTAACAGGTAATATCGTAAATAAAAACGGGGACTAGTTATTACAACAGAGGAATTGTCAGTGAAACGGAATAGAGGACAAAGCTTGTAGAAAATGAGCAGATGTTTCGTGTCGACAGTTGACCGCGGTGCATCAACCATAGTGGGCTGAGCCTTTATTTCGGTTACATCGAAACGTTCGTGTTTTATTTAGGAGGTGAGCAGTAAGTAGATAAATGCTTTTGTTATATTTATTTATTATATAATTTTTACATGAAAATCACAATAATAGTAAACGACGACTTATAAATACATCATCTACTATCAATTGCATATATAATATTTTACGATTTTTAGTAAATAATAATATATGTTTATTCGTACGTACTGAGATTTAATCTGTTTTTTTTTAATCATTAGTATTAAATTTTACAAGAATAAGTAACAGAAGTGTACGAGATATGCTAATAACCATTATTAATTACGGATTTCATTTTATTACAAAATTAAAATTTATACTGTATTTATATTTTATACTTGCATAACCTTTTTATTGAAGTTTCCGTTAGAATTGCGTAATAATACTTTAAAAAGAAGGTATGTAATAAGAAAAGTCTTTTCAAGTTACCGTCTTTTATGATGAATTTAACGCCATCCGTTGGTCACGGTAATGAATCAAAGACAGGTGACAAACGAGGGTTCATAAAAGCAACAAAAAGTTCAAATACGTTACCGTTACATTATGCAAACATCACTCAAAATGTTCACGTAGTTAGAATATATCTGATACACATTTTTTATTTAAGTTATGTTTATATAAAGATATCGGTATTTCAGTTGAACTAAATTTTAGTTGAATTTCTCGAGATTGGAAGATGTTGCCCACAAAATTCTTTTCCTTTTTATTAGTCATTAATCATAATGGTTTATTTACAATATTGCTGCTGTGTTTACTTACCCTTTTAATGGGAATATTACATGCATCGCAAGTTAACCGATAAAAACCAAAGTGAGTATGATTTTGTTTGAACCTCGTTTCATACAGTATAATATAAAACGTTTTAAAATCTGTCACATTTTCGACATCAAATATGGTTCTCTACGCTACCATAAGTGAATTACTGGAGCACTAAGCACTGATTTCTATAGATGGCGCTCTCTGTCAGTTTTTCACGTCTATTTGTTTCGCACAATTTATCTCCCATTTTCTCGGAATGTTCCGTTATAGTATACACCTTATTTTATTTGTATTTAAACTCACAGTGATATATAAAAGAACATTACATCAAGGTTTAAAACATGTATACTAATTTTCTTTCATTATTTAATTATTACCAAAAATTATTTTAATGAAATTCTGTAATTTCAGAAAATCGATCAAGAATAACGGCACACAATTTGAATTACTAAAGTGTTTACAAAGATGCCTATCGACAATCGAAATGTCCCTTCGATTGGTAGATCATCAAATTTTACTCTGGGTAAAAGACCACTGTCAACAAAATCGCAACAAAGGTCATCCGCGAAAATTACTGTACAAAATAAAAATCCGTTTACCCAGAAAGTAAGGGTACCAAGTAATTCGGCGGGAAAGCAACAAAGTAGTAATAACGTATTTCTACAAACAAAAAGTATGGAAGAAAATAGAATCGTCCAGAAGGATCGTACAGAGTACGTCGACAGACGTTCCAACGATATAGATTACGATGATCCAATTGCTATGTTGCGTAAAGAAATACAAGATTGGAAAATAAACGAAATTTTAACCTCTAGAACCGAAGAGAGACTCACTGGAACTCCCAGTGAACAACGTACTTTCAGTTATGGTATGCTTACCGATCGAATTAAAATATGTAAACCTAAAATAATTCTGTTCCATTTGCGATTAACTACAAGTTTTATTATTTGCAGTCGCTTCAGGGGAAACCACGAAGAGGTTACGAACACAGCGAAGTCCCTGCAATCCCCTCAAATCCGTCAGGACGTACATCGACTGCTCGGCTGTAACGTGAGTACTACACTCTTTTTTTATTTCTGGTGTGGATTTAGACCTATGATCGAGTCCAAGAGGGAATCGACCCCTCTTGTCCAAGTCTTTTTTCGGCTGTTCGATTTGAGAATAAAGACCACGCGAAATCAAACTTAATTGGCTGCTCAAGGCCATTGTGAATTGTCGTTCTCACTACTCTGGCTAACTAGTTGCTCCATCTGTCTTGTTCGTTGGCACTATATATATAACCGAAGAAGGGGGAAATGGTGCACCTTATGTCTGATGGATAGTGTAAGAATTTCTGTACCATTGTTTACTTTTTATGTAACTAAGAAAAATTATGTTATCAAAATTGTAGTCGATGCAGTACCACTAGAAATAAGGGCTTATAATGCTTTCTCCACCAAGTCGATTCTTTCTTTGACTTAAATGTAAATTTTTAACGCTATGTTGTGTAGTTGCTGAATTTGAATTAGTATCGCAAATTTAAATTTTTTGTACGTGATGGTATATCCTGCGTCGCTATACATATATAAACACATATGTATATGTATATTTTTTATTACGCACGACGGTGTTCTTTGCCATGCAAAATATTTATGTATATATATATTTCGTGTGTCCGTTTAAGTGCAACTTATGGGATAAGTGTTTTTTTGTTATCGTACTACAATAACTTTTCTAACAACGTGACCAAGGTAAGTGGAGACCAAATTTATGACAACGAAATTTTCCGGTAATAAATAGTTAACACGAGCACTCGCGACTACGTTCAGGACACACGTGTATGTTTTTTTTTACGTACGATAAAACGTGACCGAGTCGATTGTCATGCGTCGTCGAAACAGTCAAGAAAGAGGACCGAGAGTGCCTTACGTAAGTAACTGTAAATGAAGAACGATGGGAGAGACAAGACTGTCTATCTTCACCGGTGCAAGTACACACGCGAGAAAGACTACGTCATTCTGGAATTTTCGAAAGTTTCGTCTAACCGGTTTCTGATTGTAGACAGTAAGACTCGTTCAGCTTACTGGGTGATACTCCGTATCCAGATGAACCTCTTGTAACGCATTTAACGTCATTAACTCGTTTATTTCCTTAAGACAGACACTGGATCTTTTCATTCATAATTCTCGCAATATTAAAGATATCAACGAGCAATCCGTTAATACAATTTACATTCGGAACATTTTCCCGCCATTTGTTCCTTTTGAAAATTGGAGGGAAATGTTCGAGAACAGGGCTGAAAATTAATCGTTAGGATCATCACAGGACTTTGATTGTCTTTAAAAAATAATAATAAATTACAAGTGTGTACCTAACCGTGGAATCACACAAAATAATTTATAGTTCGATAAGTTTTAACCTCATCTAACAACCCAGTTGGCTTCTACGCTCTTTCGATACAACGCGAGCGAATTTTAAATTTTCCCGCTCTTTTGACGCACTGCATGGCGAACCATTAACGTGCACAGCCCCGCAGCTTATTCAGAGGCCGTTCGGAACTTGTTTCGGTAGTCGTGTCACGAATGAAAAATGATAATGAGCACAGTGCTGTAGGTTAGTGAGAACAATAGCCACTTACGCTAATCAACGGGGACGCATGCCATGCGCGTTCGTGTAGTAAAAATATTTTCGGTCGATGGCTCGTGCAACGAATGACAAAAGTCCGCCGTGAGGAAAGACATTGCCGAATTTGTCCCCGACCATGAAGTCGTTCCTCCATCGTGACTGAATCTTTTTTTTATTATCGTGCCGCGGCACGTACCGTCTGTCATTTCGCCGACGCGAGCCGACGAGGCTTGTGCGTGTCGAGGCTCTTTACCGCCGTCTAGTCACGAGGGGCCCCGAGGACATTCGTCTTGAGTACCTACCCCACCTTTTCCTCCACCTCCAAACGCGTCCGTTCCCATATCGCCGTTTAATAAATGTAAACGAAAAAATAAAATCTCCCGGAGGAACTCAAGGTCCACGAGGAAACGAGACATCGCGAACGCGGCCAGTTCATCCGGATAATGATGTAGGTTAGGTTCCCAGCGGTGTGTATCGCAAAAATCAACATTCTTCGGCGGAGCCGGGATCCGCAAAAAGCGCGAAACCGGTTTTGCCCTCGTAAATGGCACACGAGCCGTGCGAACGGGTAGACAGACGCGCGACGACGAGAAAGACCGAGTGAGAGTAAAGGCGGACGGAGAAGAAGCCGGATCGTTCGGACACGTTGATTTACAGTAAACCAATTTTTCAACGATATTTCTTCGAAGTCTGGCCAGAAAAGGAAAACGAATTATTTTAAAGAACCGCAGCACGGTCGTGATCTCGTCTCGTTACAAATTTGTTTCGTACCCTTTTTAGTATAAAACGATATACAGTAAATCCTCGATGAGTGTTCGAAGGCTACTCGACACTGAACAT